GAGGAGGAGGAGGAGCAGCAGCTGCGGAAGCAAGAGCAGGAGCACTGGCAACAGCACTGTTCAGGTTGAAGGCGTGGTTGCATGTTTAGGAAGTTTAAGAACGAATGCAGCTTAGAGTCTTGACCTCGGCTGCAGGGATGCGCTGAATGGTCGACTCCGTGCCGGTGATACTACCATCTGGCAAGACATTCCCGTGACCCTTGAAGGTCAAGATGTCACCGTTGAAATACTTCCATGCCAACAGCTGGAAGATATAACTTGCAACAGCCAATGGCATCACCGCCCATGCGGTCGCCTCTCCCAGGGAGCCCTTGCCAGAAATCGGACGATCCAGAGTTTTTGTGTCTGTCAGCGGCGACGTCCGTGTGGCAGTCTGCGCAATCCAATGCCCGGTCATGGGCGAAAGCGCTGCACATGCCGAGATCAGGGTAAGGCAGATATAACCTGGGAATTTACACATGGCGGTGCCCAAGAGTGTCTTCTTGTGAGCTACAAGTCTTGTGAACAAAACGCAAAAAGAACTAGTAACTGCTAGAACCCAGCAACAGCCTTTCAGGGCATACCATTTGTTGCCAAGGATGGTCATGATGGAGCACCACACCGCTGCCCCGCGGGCCACATCTAGGCCCACGGAGACCAAGATTGCCACAACGAAGGTTTCCGACCGGAAGTTCAGGTAGCCTAGGTAACCAAATCTTTTTGGTCAGACCCCTGCTACTCCCCGAGGCTCGGCCGAGTCGTGACTCATGTAGCAAGCAGCAAGCAGCTCCAACCGAAAACAGACGTGAAGACGGAAGGTACAAGAAGAGCCATGAAAAGACTCGGACCACAGTGGTAATGACGATGATCACGATCTCAGCAGTCAAAAAGCAGTCACGAAACAAATCTCAAACCACAGCATTGTGAAATACCAGTCGTCGCACGAAAGGTAGCACTACGACCAATGTTAACTGAGACTACTCCATTTTTTATGGTAGAGAGCCTCTCATGCCTAGCACGGCCAGCAGCGGCAGCAGTAGCAACAGCAGCAGCAGCAGCAGCAGCAGCAGCATTAGCAGTAGCAGCAGCAGTTGCAGTTGCCGTTGCAGTAGCAGTATCAGTAGCCGGTGCAGTAGCAGTAGTTGTTGTTGTGGTGGTGGTGGTGGTTCTTGCTGTTGTTGCTGTAGTTGTTGTTGTTGTTGCTGTTGTTGTGGGAGCAGTAGTAGTCGTCGTCGGCGTCGTCGTCGCCGCTGTCGCACTAATGGTTGCAGCACTAGGATTCGTAGCAGCACCAGCAGCGGCAACAGCAACAGCAACAACAGCAGCAGCAGCAGTACGCAACAGTCAGCCGTTGTACCAGCTGCCGTCGCGTTCGCACATGTCACGGAACTGTAGTCGGCGGACGGTTAGACCTGCACCCTAGGACTCAGCAGCAGAAGCAAGCACAAAGCCAAATGCAGAGACGATGAGCCGCTGAGTGGATGAAACCAAGGAAAACGCGCTCACGAGTTGACAGGTTGAGGACCCAAGAAAAAAGCAGAGGGCAGACCAACGGAAAGAATCGCACACGCAAAACTTTACTCCTGACCTGCTGAGCAACCCAGGTCCCATAAGCACAGGGCACGTAGAAGCGATCCCGGCGGCAACAGACAACTGAAGTCTCGCATGGCCCAGGGACCCCACTTGTTCCTGGACTGGCTTTCCAGTGGGTTTAAGCTTGGGATCCAGGCAAAGCATGTAACAAACTTAAGAAGATCACTCTTCCCCGAAGGCGGCTCGTTTGCAGGCTTTGGAAGCAGTTAGTCATACTGCAATCCAAGCTCATCCGAGTCAGGAAGAAGAAGATCACAGAAAGCGCCACAGGACCAACGAGACCAACAGTCAGAGCAAAGATTGCAATCTCGGAAGGCTCCCAACCGTTCAGAGTCCACCACTGCGTGAAGCTCTGCGAGGAGTAGGAGGTCAAAGTATTCAGGGCCTCTGCCACAACCAACATGATGAAGGACTTGTGGGTCATACCCTCAAGCAGCTCCGTCTTTGGAAGCACGTAGGATGCATAGCAATGCGGCGCTTTGAAGAGCAGGACCAAAGTCGCCAGCGAGACCACGAGCACCAGCTGCTTATTGATATAGTCCATTCCTGCAATGAGTACCAAGTGCTATGTGTAGGTGCCCCCAGGGCAAGAAAAGCAGAGCATGCTCTACAACCACACCTGAGCATAGATAGCCACTGCCCCAAATCGGGGTACAGACGGCATCAACAAAGATCCATCCCCGGACACCCCATTCCGGCGCCTAACAAACTCCTGAACCTTCACACTCCCAGACCTTCAAACTCCCAAACCCCTTTCATGCTCCTAAGCTATCAACATCCCTCGGCTCCTGCATAGCTCAGGGTCACGGCAATCCACGCGACGCCCGAGCGCAGGGACTCGAGGACTCCGATTCGCCGGGCAGCCACCTGGAAGCCTCCGTGAAAGTCCTGGCGACGGGTGGTTTCGGGGAACGGACATGCGGTTGAAGGTTTGTGGGTTTGGGGGTTTGGGGTTTCGGGAGGGCTTCTGACACAGCTTGGGTCCCCAATTCCTCGTTGAAGTTCCAGATGATGAAGAGCAGGCGCGAGGTGCTCTGCACGCCGCAGAGGCCAAGGTAAGTCCTTCGATAATATAGGGGCCTTGATGATTAGAACAGGGTTTTGGGGGGGCGATGATAATACAAATGCAATATATAAAATCAGAAAGCTTAAGTAGCAGTATTGGTAATCCCTTCTGCAAAAACGGGGACTTCATTCGAGCTAGTTGGGAACTGCGGCCCGCAAAGTGCTTAAATCTCAGACCTCTAAACCCTAAACCCCTAAACCCCTCAACCCCAGCACCCCTCCACCCGAAGCCCTCAGCCCCGAAAGCTGCACACGGCCATCTTCTGCTCGTAAGATCGAGGGTCAAGGTGACCACAGCATTGTCGAAGAGCTCCTCGGGCAGTGCGGGAACGAGCACAAAGAAGACCATGTTCCTGAGATGCCGGAGGAAGACGACAAGCTTCTTAGTATATGGTGTATTTCAGGTGTCATGATGAGAACTATCCGGGGTCTTGCCATTCAACCGAAAGTACAAGTGTCGTCAGCGTTACGCGCAAACTTTGCGAATTCATGTGATTGTGAATTCACTGCCAGCTCTCGTGGCCACCACCTCCTTCTTCCTGTGCCTTCCTGTGCCTTCTACTCTACTCCCCCTGCCACTCCCCTTCCTCATCCTGCTGCTGCTTGTTACTGGTCTTCTTAGTCCATCATGACACTACACAACTCCATAACCTGTGCAACTTGTACCCAGGTTCAAGAGCTGGGCGCTGGCCATGAGGAGATTCGGAGGAATGCCCTTCGATAGGAAGAGCCAAAGCAGGCAGCCGACCGCGGAGCCTGCGTAGAAGACCGTCCAGAGGGCCTCCGGAAACACAAGGCGATGGGCGAGTTTGCGCGTCTAGTGCTGCGTTGCTACTCGCCCGACGAGCCAACACAGAAAAAGAACACCCTAAATCCCAATCCCCAGACCCTAAGCAAGATGCTGCAGCGTTGTGGAGAACTTCGTTTGGGAGTTTTCGGATCGAACTGGGGAGCTGCCCTAAATCATGGTCACGTCTGAGGCCTGACAGCTGGGACATACTTGGGCGTATGTATGCGTGTATGTATGCAAGCATACATGCATGTATGTATGCATGTCATAGGTACGCAGGCAGGCAGGCAGGCAGGCAGGCAGGTAGGTAGGTGGGTAGGTAGCTCGCTGGGTAGGTAGCTCCCCAGTGCCCGCACAGACGCTGAAGCGCACATGCTAGACAGCAGTGGGTCCTCGAACTAGACGCGAGCACAGGAGCCATCACATATCCTCCATTCACACCCAAAACTCTTTAGGCAAAAGCCAGGAATTCACGGCCAATGCCCACAGTGAGTGCACCACAACAGCATGGGCTGCGAGGACGCGCCTGCTTGGCAACACTGTGCCAGCAGGCCATGGAGGCAGCCAGAGGAGAACGAAGAGAAGGAGACGGAGCAGGATTGAAGCAAGTGTCAGCGACCAGCCTCCAATTATGGCTTCAACGGGGGAGGCCGGGGCAAGGGAGGCCAGGCGCCACCAAACCCGCGAGCACAGAAAAGGGGCCGTGCCCCTCTGAAGGACGCCTCGGAGAAGAACCTGGAAAGCCTGTGACGAAGGTCAAGCTCCTCCTACGCCACGAGGATCAGATGGGGATCGAAAGGAGCGAGAACAACTTCATCATGTTCTTCAAGACGGAATCTGAGATGTCGTTGACGGCGCTGTTCATCAAGCCATCTCAGCACTGGCTACGAGCTTCGAGGGCAAAAGCAAGCGCAGCTCAGCCTCTCGCTGCGGCCGTTCCTGTTTCGCACTCTCCTGGACGAACTGCAGTGTAACTGCAGAAGCGGATGGAGGCTGTATCGCAGTCACCCGAACAGATGGACCTGGCCAACAAGCTTCTGGTCTTCCTCCCGAAGAAGGAACAGAACGAAGAACTTTGCATCCCGTTCCTTCTCTACAACCAGGAGACCAACAAGCTGGAGACCCTCTCCAGGATGATCGAGATGCTCCAGGAGATGCGAGAGGATTGCATCAAACCGTTGAGCATTCTCCGGTTGCATTGCCAACTCTCAGAATCATTGCTATGCCAATGCTGCGGTCCTCGCCCTTAATTGGCTGTGCCTGCATCTGCTGCATTCCCAGAAGCTCTGGACAAGGGCCATGCAACCAATCATGCGAAGAATGAGCTTGCAGGCCTGCATCTGTGATCTCTGGTCCCACCTGTCGTGGGCACTACTCCATGCTGGTTGGCACAGACCTCACATACAGCATGACATTGCTGAATGTCTGACATGCTTTCGCAGGTTTCTCATTCCCGAGCTCCTCCATGGAGGCTGGCAATGCTGAGACAAGGTGAAGTGAATGCCAACGACGTTTTTGCATTTGAGGTCCGTGATCAAGGGGAGACATGGCCACTGTTTATTCCTGTATATTCCTGTGCCGCCTGCCCACATGTTACCCCATGCTCACGGTCGTCTTACCGTGCAGCGCATGCTTAACCACTGGTATGCTCAGACTGATGATGGAGTGACGGGTCTGTCTACCGCTCCGGTTTTATGCTACAGCCATTGAGATCTGCACCAGCTGAAGGATGATACATGCATCCTTCCCGATCCTCGTGTCTCCATCAACTGTTTCAGGCATGGCGGTCACTGTGTCGATATTTCTGCTGATGCCTCCCGCACCCAGTTGTGTCACTATCAGCTTCCTGCTGTTCTCATCCACCAGGGTGCAAGTCCTATCACTGGGCACTATCGGGCTTTCCTCTACTTGCAACAACCGGATTCGCCTCATCTTTTCTGCGACGATGGGAAAAAGCCTCATACCTGCAATGCTCTTCCAGCCTGCATCTTCTCGGAAGGGTATGTGTACTTAAATCAGCGATTGCAACTGCCGTCATGATGATGCAATGGGACATTCCTGTCAGGCATCTTCAATATCCGCTCCACACGGTTCTGACTGTGTTTGCAGCAGCGCGTTTCTCATCTGTGCAATGCGCAGCTCTATGAGTGGGGTTAGCCACCTGTCATAACGGCTCGCCAGGCGAAGACCTTCTTTGCAGCGTGGGAAAGATGTATGTATGTATGTATGTATGTATGTATGTAGGTAGGTGTGTATGTGCATGCGTGCACGCATGCGTGCATGCAGGAATGCAGGCATGCATGCCTGCATGCATGGATGGATGGATGGATGGACGTATGCATGCAAGCATGCATTCATGCATGCATGCATGAATGTACGTATGTATGCACGCAATCATGCATGCACATATGATGTAGGTATGTATTTGTGTATGTACATATGTAGGCATGTATGTCAGTTGTGTATGTATGTATGTATGTATGCATGTGTGTGTGTATGTATGTATGTATGTATGTATGTATGTATGTATGTATGTATGTATGTATGTATGTCAGCTTGTTTGCTTGCTTGCTTGGTTGATTGTTTACATACATACCTGCATACATACATACATACATACATACATACACACACACAGAGAGACATACATACATACA